CTCTCACACCCACACAGACACACAGACTCACACATTTCTTCCACCCATCCTCTGTCCTTCACCACTGGAAAGGAGGCCAGTGTCTTCTCAGTGCAAGAAAACCACCTGGAGCCACCCAGGACATGCATGTGTTACACTTTGGTTTTGCACGGACTTCTGCATTTCCTGGCTCCGCCCAGCCTGAAACTGTTAAAATATCACAGCAGGGGGGCAGCCCCAGCCCCCAGACACAGCTCTAGTCGTCACATGGCCTCCTGAGTAGCTCTAGACTCCAGTCAGTCACTGGGGTAGAGGGACCCATAGAGAACCTATGTATGTATAGAAACCGTGGAAAGTCATCTGTATATACACCGCTAAGGAGGTGAAGGACAAAGAAGTATAAGTAGTGGGTGATTTGATTTCAGGAATTTTACTTTTTGTCAAGTTGTTTAAACACTCGGTTATGTTGTTTAAGTGGACAAAAACGTTTGTCAGGAAGTTTAAAATTGGTGGCAATATGGCTGACCAGATATGGCTGATCATTTGGGCTGTGGCAGAAGCAGAAGTCCAAGTTGGAAAAATTCTAGAAGCTGCTACCTGCTGACCCTTCATTGAGCCAGGAGGTCGGGAGAAGTCAGGAAAGGCGTGAGGCTCAGGCAGCCCTCGTGGCTACTCAGTGGCTGTTCTTAAGAACTGGGGCTGGTCCTGGCTCCAGGCCTTATGCCTCTCTGTTGCTGAACCAGGCACTGGTATTCTCTTTTTCCACTGGTACAAATAATATATGCTTCCTATTAAAAAATTCAAGGAACATATAAAATTATATGAAAGAAGGTAAAAGTTACATGAAGTCCTATCACTTGAAATAAACAACATTAACATTTTAGGAAATATCTTTTTGGGCCACAATATGCACGTGCGCGCGCGCACACACACACACACACACACACAGAGGATTTTTGTAATTTGCTTTTGTTTTGTTTTTTCATTTTCCACCTCCCTTGTCCGTCTCTACCTCCCCCACCAATAATGAAAGTAAACAACTTTGCGTTCGTCCTCCTAAACCTCTCTTCATGTAACATAAAGATGTATGCGTGTCTGCATAGAGGTTACTTTTCTCATTATTTGGTATTTCCAAATATGGAATAATTTTATGCACCTCTGTGCATCTTGCTTTTCTCATGTAACAGCATGTTCTAGAAAAGTCCTCTTAGCTTCACTTGTAAAGGTGTAATACATTCTTTCTAAGAGTTGTATAATATATTAGAGACTTTTAGAGTGCATATTTATTCAACAATTCCCCAAATGGTGAGCAGTTACAGAGTTTTTTTTGTTTTGCTTTTTGTAACTACCAGTATTGCTGCAATAAACATTTTTATATCGCATATATTCCTACATAGTGATGTTCGATTAGTCTCTGAGATTCCCAGAAGTGGGACTGTAAATTTAAAGATATATGTATTCTTTAATTTTAATAAAACTGGAAAAATTTCTACACAGTCAGTAATATTTCATATTTTATTTGTCTGATAAATATCTATTAAGTCCTTACTCCTTGCCAGGCAATTTGGATTCAAAAATGAGTTAAGATAAAGATCCCAGCCTTCACTGAGTGTTGATCCTAGAAATACAATGGGGAAGAAGAGATGAATGAAAGAACAGTAATTATATTAAATACTTTTCTACCACGAATGTATAAAAATGTAATTCTCCCTTGCTTTCCCATCAACAATTGGTATTATCATTCCTTTTATTTTTCCCCAATCTTATTGATGTAATGTGATTATTTTATCTTAATTTGCATTTAATTAAACATTTTTCACATGTTTGTTTATCTAGTGGGATTTGTGTTGGATGAACTGACATTCACAATCTTTATTCATTTTTTTATTGAGTGAGTCGTATGCTAGACCATATTCTTGTTTAATTACATGAGCTCTGTGTATATTATAAATACACATCTATCTGCAGGTTGCCTTGCAAGTCATTTTCCCAATCTATTGCTCAGGTACTGACTTCATATTGATTTCCTTAACTATAGAATACCTTTCACTTTTATAAATTTGTATTTTTGCTATCAATATGTCTTTTTGTCCTTTCAGCTTCTGACTATTCTATCATTGTTCATTGTTATTTCCAAACTCTGGGTCATATATATAGTCTCCTAAATTTTCTTTCAATTAAATTTTTTTAACTTTTTAATATTTTTTCAGTATATGTGGAATTTATTTTTTAATATGGTGTGAGGTAGGGGTTCGATTGCTTTTTCTTCTAGGTAGACAGCCACTTGTTAAATGTCACTTATTAAAATCAACCATCAGTTCTCCTTTGAAGTAAAATGTACCTTTTTCATATATGCAATTCCAAATGCACTATAATCTGTTTGCATGCTTATTATTCTGCTCTATTGATAATATGTCTATTCTTACTCCAATTTTATGCTGTTTTGATTACAGTCTACTTTATCATTATTTTAAAGCTAGATTAAAACTTCATTTGGTCAGAGAAAATTTCAGATAATTTTATCCAATTAAAAATTGTAATTGTTATTAAAACAATTTAATTTAGGGGCGCCTGGGTGGCTCAGTGAGTTAAAGCCTCTGCCTTCAGCTCAGGTCATGATCTCAGGGTCCTGGGATCGAGCCCCGCATCAGGCTATCTGCTCAGCGGGGAGCCTGCTTCCTCCTCACTCTCTGCCTGCCTCTCTGCCTACTTGTGATCTCTATCTGTCAAATAAATAAATAAATAAATAAATAAATCTTTTTTAAAAAGTTAATTTAATTTATATTAGGGACAAGAAAGAGGACATAAGAAAGAGAAGAGGTTGAAATAATTACAAGACAATACTACATAAAACTTTATGGGAACAAACTGGAAAATGGAGGAAATCAAAGATCTATAAATCATATAAATCATCAAAATGGTGCAAGGGAGAGGAAAAATGGGAACTGACAAATTCTTGTAGAAGAAATTGGAAATTTACTTAAAGACCTACTTTTTATAAAAGGACCCCTTGGAGTTCCAAATAGCCTTTAAAGAAGAGAGTCCCAAGGTTATTAAACAGTTCAAGACCATAGGAAAAAGGTGGACAGCTCCCTTGTATGTTATAAAGCCAGCATTATCTTGGTGTTAACTCCTCATACACAGAACCCGTTCAGGAATATTGATTCTCATTTGAAATAAAATATTGGCAAATAGGATCCAACCATGTATCAAAAAGACTAGTGAACTGTAACCAAACAGCTTTTATTTCAGAATGAAGAGAAGTTTCAGTAGCAGAAAATTTATCAACAGAATTCATCACATCAACAAATTAAATTATCATATTAAAAGATACTCAATAAGTACCTGATAAAATTTAATATCAATTCTTTTTTTTTCTCTTTAAAGATTTTATTTACTTATTTGAGAGAGAGACAGGGAGAGTACAGAAGAAGAGTGAGAGGGAGAAGCAGACCATCTGCTGAGCAGAGAGCCCGATGTGACATGAGCCTCAGTACCAATTCTTAATAAAAACCCATAATCCCTTATGCAAAATTCTGATACCAAAAAAAAATCTCTGAAAACTGAAATGTTGGCCCATAACTTTGGTACCAAATTTCATTTAAAAAATCCTGTTCTTTACAAATGTGAAGTATTGCAAGCCCTGTACCCAAGGCATACCTCAACTAAGTATTCATGGATAATTTATTGTGGCTCTCTGTCCTGTATTTAAGATTATTATAGTCTTCCTTTTCTTCAAAGAGATTTGAGGAAAAGTAATATGAGACATGTGCTTTCACCTCTCTGGAAGAAAAGCACCACTGCATTTCATTAAATCTAAGACACCACTGTTTGGAAGGCTAGCATTTATTTTATGTATGACTGACATAGGGAAAAAAGATGCTGCTAATTACTTTATGAACCATCACTAATTAGATGCTGCTAATTACTTTATGAACCATCACTAAAACACATCATGGTTTCAGAGATATTGAAATGTGAAAAAAAAAGGGGGTGCACCTTGGAATCAAAGAAATGCTGTGAACACATCCGAAAGCAGTCAGGAACTCTCCACCAACTGCACGGCCCTTCAGACAAGAGCAGGAACGCCAGGTCCTTTCCTCTAAATGTCTGCCTGTTGGGGATGGGCCAGGTGTGAGGTGGAGTGTAGTAGCCAGTGGTCAGCCAGGACTCCAGAGTTGGCTCTTCAAAGGTTAAGTGACCATGAACCAGCTACGGAACATGTCAAACCTCAGTCTGGGACTGTGATAGCGCCTATTTACGCTTACTTTAAAGTGAAAAGGATGACGGAGACAGGGTTTGTGAAGTTCCCAGTCAAGTGTAAGCCCCTCTTAAAGAACCAGCCCTGGAACGGAGGCAGTGCTGATGTCTTGGTGATGCGGCTGTGGTCTCTAGCATCTTTCCCACTTCCATCATTCTATGATCCTTTACCCAAGAATCTTGGCTGTATTTCTCTCACCTCTAAGGAAGTTTCTCTGAGATTCCTGAGAAGAGGCAATTGGCCTCAAATGCCTGAACCATCCCTGGGCCCTGAATTTATAGCCTCTCACCTGAAAATCTGAGCGGGAAAGAACCTCAGACATGTTCTTACACGGGCTGGGAGAGGAACGTGACCTTCCCATGTAATGCAGACTGTAGCAAAGTGAAGACTAGAACCCAGACCACCAGAATTATCATCAACACTTTCCGGATGCCAGGGCTCCTGTCCCTAGGGCACTGGGGTCCACCCCAGCAGTTTCTGGCAGTTTGCTCAGGCAGATGATCTCTGTGTCCTAAACCCAGTCATTCCTTCTCTCTGGACCTCTTCTTCCTGCTCTGGGGGAAAAAAGACAATACAAGCTTAGCCTGCCAGATCCCCTAAACTGATTCCATGTTCTGATTTTGACTTTCATTGCCCTCCCACTTCCATCCCTCCTCCTCTTCTCTCTAATTGGCCATCCGGAAGGGGCTGGGGGAGCTCTTCTGTACTGAGGCTCTGAAGGCCTACTCACATCACCAGTCTGCTGTGTGTTCTCTGACAGGATGGGAGTGGTGAGCAGCAAAAAGCAGGTGAAGGAGAAGAGTAAGGCCCAATGGAGTCCTGTGAAGGTCAGCACCCAGAGCAAAGATCCCCCACCACCGCCACCCTTGGTGAGTGATGGCTGTTCCCAGCTGGAAAGGGAGGGGGAGGAAGAAGAGCAGAGAGCACATGCTTGTCTCCAGCCAGCACCAGGGCCATCTCTAGATAATTCAGGGCTCTGACAAATCTGCCCCTTGCCCCTGCCACCAAACGTGGCAGCCACCTCATGCTGGTGTGGCAATATAGTAGAAGATGTTTAACAGCCAGAGTGCCGGTGTTTACATTGAATAGCTGTGTGCTTTGAAGCAGGTTACTAACTCCCCTTTGCCTCAGTTTCCGCATCTGTAAAATGGGTATAGTGAAAGTGCCTTCCTGATAGGGAGGTAACAACATGTGATGTATATACAACCATGCAATTCCATAACATACTACCCTTAGCACAGAACGGGGCATGTGTAGTTCCCAGTAATTCTTAGCCAGTTCTCATTTCACAAGGGCAGCCTTGAAGAGAAAAAGAAATCAAAAAGATCAGCTCGAGAAGAGGGTGTGGTGGGAATGGGTCTGAGGCACGTAGCAACGTCTGCTGCCCCCACCCCTACCCAGAAGCTCCTGGACAATAGTCCCCTTCCTAGCACTGCTGCCCACCTTCCAAGGAGTTACTCTCCAGGAACGAGGAACCCTAAGACTAGCCACATCTCTCCAGCAAACCCTTGGCTTCCCGTGGAGCCTGAGATGCTGTTCTGGGCTTGTTTACAGAACACTTAGAACCTTTCCACAGAGGCTACTACATTCCAAAGAGGCATTTTTAGATGTCTGTTTGTGACACTCCCCTCCCCCACCTGGCCACCTATCCCTTTTTGGTTGGGGGCAGTTGGGAGTCATGCCTGGAACCTGCTCTCTTGCTCTCTGCCTCTGAGGGCACATTCAACTGCTCATCAATTTAGTCCAACAGTGACCTGATGGGACGTAGGATTGCTAATCCCATTTCTTAGACAAACAAGGCATTTTATCTGTGTCTCAACTTAGCACAGAACAATGAGATGCTTGTTGAATGAGTGAATGATGGCTCAGATGACTTAGACTGTAATATTGCCAAAGTTACATGCTAATAAGTTATAGAGGCTGGAATGTTTTAAACTTTATTTTTTTAAAGACTATTTATTTATTTGAGAGAGAGAGCGAGCAAGCATGAGCAGGGGCAAGGGTCAGAGGGAGAGGAAGAAGCAGACTCCCCGTTGAGCAGGGAGCCTGACGCGGGACTCGATCCCAGGACCCCAGGATCATGACCCCAGCCGATAGCAGATGTTCAACTGACTGAGCCACCCAGGTGCCCCAGAGTGTTTAACTTTAAAAAAAGAAATCATATGATATATTCTAATTGTGGAGAAAAATTATAAACACTCATTATCCCACTAGCCAGCGATATCCAGAGTTGGCACTACAGAACCCCTGTTCCCAGACCCTATTGTCGATGTTATTTATATTACGTGTTTGTATTTTCAATGGAGCCATACTGTATGTACCATGTGGCAAAATGCTGCTTCAAAATTGTGTTCAATAAATATGGAAGACAAACAAAAAATGCTCATAATATGTCCATCAGATTAAAAGGATAATGAAGTGAATACCCAGCACAGCCCCTTTGGTCTTCAGGAGCAGTGACCATTGTCCCCACCCAAGTCCATCCCTCACCCCAGGCCCCTACCCTGAATGTGTCCATCATTTCTTAGCTTGCCGTGTTGTATCATCACATGTGCATATACTCCTAAAGACTGTTTAGTTTCTTCTGCCGGTTGTGAACTTTTGATTGAATCAAACAGCATGTATTCTTCTGAGACGAGGTTGTCAGATCTCCCGTTACGTCTGTGACCTTCATCCATGTTGATGCGCATATCTGGAGCTCAGAAGTTCCCACAGCGGCGTAGCATTTCCTTGCATGACTGTGCCCCAGTTTGCCTATTTTTCTGTCATTAGTCCTAAGGACGATTTCCACCTTTTACAATTCTTCTGTATTATTGTAGTTTTGCTGGGAGCATTCTCGTGCATGGTTCCTGATACACACATACAGAAGTTTCTCTACAGGGTATATACCTAGGGATGTATTTGTTGAATTTTAGGGAAATACGCCCTACAGAGCCCCTGGGTGACAGGTGCAACAGCCTCCCAGCCCAGGCCTTGGGTTTGGGGGGTGTGGAACTACTGCAGCGTGTGTGTGTGTGTGTGTGTGTGTGTGTGTGTGTGTGTGTGTGTGTGTGTTTCTGCTGCAGGTGCTGTTTAACCACCTGGCTCCTGCACCTCCGGACACGTGTCCAGACCAAGGTAAGAAGGGGCTGCTTTTGAAGCCGAGGCTCTCCAGTCCATCTGCCCTGGGCCCAGGCTCTGTGCAGGCAGAACAGGGGCCCAGCTGGAAGCAGCTTCCTGGAGAGGACGGGGAGGCCCTCCAGGGTCAGAGAGGCAGAGGCTATGGGGGGGAGGCAACTAAACCAGGCATAGCGAGGGGTGTGGCCCAACTCTGCCCCAGGCTTCACCTGCCCCCGGGGGCCCCTCCGGGAACCAAGACCCAGTTCCTGTAACTGAGCCTGGGTGGTTTTTGTGTTTTGTTTTTCAAAAAAGAACTACAAACTATAAATGAGACAAAAAGAAAAATGTTACAATAAATACAAACAGCAAAAAAACAAAACCAAGTTTTCTTTTTTTTTTTTTAAGATTTTATTTATTTATTTGGCAGACAGAGATCACAAGTAGGCAGAGAGGCAGGCAGAGAGAAAGAGGGGGAAGCAGGCTCCCTGCTGAGCAGAAAGCCTGATGCTGGACTCGATCCCAGGACCCTGGGATCATGACCTGAGCAGAAGGCAGAGGCTTTAACCTAGTGAGCCACCCAGGTGCCCCCAAAACCAAGTTTTCAAAGATTCTAACTCAGTCAACTGACTGAGGGCAAGGGCCGATGGGTCTGAGTATTCCCTCCTGCCCTGAGTCTGTTCCGAGAAAGATAGAAAGCACTATCTTTCTCCCCAACTTCCCCACTTTGCAAAGCTGCTGCTGGCCTTCTGACCACTCATGCCACCCTCCCTCACCCCGTCTCTGCTGGTGGGTAGGACAGTGGGGGATCGTGTAATGAGTGACCATGGCCCTCCTGGGTCAGGGGTTTGGAGCCTGGGGAGCGGGTGTGGCTCACAGGATGGTCGCTTCCTTCAGAACTGGCTTGCAGGAGCATGAGGAGCTCTGACAGCCTGGGTCCCTCATGGCCTCACCCGGCATGCACTGAGCAAACAGTACCTACTCTGTCCAAATACTGGGGAGGCTATAAAATTGAATAAGACGTGGCTCCTCAACCTGAGAGAGCTCAGAGTCTGTCAAGCTCCCAAACAAAGTGCTGAAACCAGATGTTTCTCATCCTGGTGTTTCTCATCCTGCTGGGACTCACGATTGATTACCACAAGGCTCGTCCTTCATTTCCTACTTGTGGGGGAGGGGTGGCGGTTCACAGCCCCAGCAAGGAAGCCCTAGGGAAAGCAATAAACTAACTTCCTTCGATGCAAAGACTTGAATCTTAGAACTGGAGGTGGGGGGCATCGTCATCTATTCCAATCCCCTCTTCCCCCCATGGGGAGGTGACTAGCCGTCACACCACACATCGGTGACAAAGCTGAGTCATCCGCTCCCAGGTGATCAAAGTGGTCTCCAAGTGACCTTTTCCAGTGGCTCTTGGCTCTCCAGAGCTGGCAGAAAAGCCCTCCTTACTCGCAGTGGCCATTTGGATGTCCATTCCTGGGACTAGCAGCAAGTCAGGGTACCACCTGCCAGGAGCACAAGGCCACAGTTACAGGTCAAGGTTATAGCAGCCACGTTCCCAAGACCACTACCCTCTTTGGAATAGAGGTAGGAAGGGGCAGTTGAGGAAGGGGAAGAGAAGGGAAGCTGATGTGACTTTGAGGCAATAAGGAATCAGCCAACGCTCATTCCCAAACTTGGGATGGCAGCCTTCAGCCCAGTGCAGCCAATCTCTCTAAATCTTTGGGCTAGCTACTCCCTGAGAGGGTAGCTCTGGCCAGGCCTTAGGGCTTTGATGTGGAGACCAGAAGGGATGACAGGGTGGACTCTAGGGGCAGCCTGTCCTTATTCCCGGCAGCAAAGTTAGAACGTCAGTCTGGTAGACAGGAGATCCCCTGCTGCCTCGGTGAGCGAGAAAGCACACCACAGTTTCCCCTCTGTCCCTGTGTCCTCCTGACCTCATGGCAGCCAGAAATGGCCCACAACACAGACTCACCCAGCCCCTGCCCTCACTCTACTGGGCCCAAGCGGTGCACATCTCTTCCTTGTTCCCTCTAGAGGAGCACTTCGTGGTGGCCCTGTATGACTACAGCTCAGTGAATGACAGGGACCTGCAGATCCTGAAGGGGGAGAAGCTAAAGATACTGAAGGAGTAAGTTCCTGGAATGCGGTCCTGTGGTCAGGGGACTCTGAGCCTCCCTATCACAGTGGGACAGCCAACCAGCCGTCCACCTCCTCACACCACCCCATCCCTGCCCTCCATGAGTATCTCCTCTATCGCTCCACCCCCAGTCCAGTCACCCACCATTTCTTTTTACCTTGACCCAGTTTTCTCCTTCTATCTACTGTTCCAAAGTCTTTCTCACAAGGTGGCTTCCATTCACTATCTCCCATTCCACTGTCAAAATCGTACTTCTCCTTCAAAACTACCTCAAACATCACCTCCTCCATAAAGCCCTCCTGACGGGCACAGCGCTTGCCTGGCTGCTCCGCCACAGGTTTGTGTGTCTCCCTTGCCAGTCAGGACCTCGCACAGGATTCTGCTCATGAAATCATCTTTACTTAATTTCTAGGGCTCCCTCTCAGAAACTCCTCCAAAGTCTGCTCTCTCTCAAACGTCGGGCTTTTTCTGTGGAGCCCGGAGGTTCTGCTTTTGTTCTTGAAGTTCTGCGATGGCCTTGAGCCCAAAGCACAAAAGCCTCGACCTTCTGGGCACACACGTGGGCTGCCCGGCTCCTCCTTTGGGCAGCATCTCTCCTCCTGCTATTGTCTTTCCTGTCTGGTCCCATTTCCCTCACTAAACTCTCAATCTGTCCCATTAACCGAGAGGAAGGCTACTCACGGAAAACAGGGGCCCTCTGACGTGGTCAGGCTGTCTGGACAAACTCTTCCTCTGGAGTCTTCACCAACCCCTTCCTCCCTGGACCAGTCTGTGAGATGCTCAGCAAGTTTGCACCACCAGCCCCCGCCCCACTGAGCAACTCGTACCAGTTCCTTCTCATCTGCCCTCCGTGCATCCTCTGCCTCAGAGATGGGATCGGAGTTGGGGAAGGGCTGTGAGCGCCCCCCAGAGATACCCACAGGAGCCACTATGCCATTTTGGTTTTCCCTCCTCTGTAGAGTTGGAGACTGGTGGTTGGCCAGGTCTCTCATCACTGGAAGAGAAGGCTATGTGCCCAGCAACTTTGTGGCCCGAGTGGAGACCTTGGAAGTAGAAAAGTAGGTGGACACACGGAGGGCCCTTCAAAGCCGAGGCCCACTTGCTGCTTCTGCCCTGGGGGCTGCTGGGCAGGGAGGGGTCGGAAAGGGACTGAAAGGTGAGACTCTGGGAGCATAGCATGGAGGGAGCTAGAAAGGGGCATAACTGGGGCTGCTGGGAAGTGTTATCCACAGACCCAGACAGCCTGGTGCTCAGGGAACCACTCCTCTGTGCTCACCTCACTCTTCCCATCTGTGAAATGGAACTGCTCCTCCCCTGATTTATTTGGATGTAAACGTCCCTACAGGCCTGTGACCTTGCAAGCTAACCTTGAGGCATGATGATCAGCTCCCTCTCCTCTAGGGCCTCCGATGGGCAGGACTTAGGGGTACTCACAGCAGTACTCCCCAGAACCCTCATAACCCACTTCTGCATAGCACCAGTCACTCATTCCCTCCTACAACATGCACTGAACAAACAGAACCCAGACTCTGACTCTGTCCACATGTGGAGAAAGCTGTAGAAATGAGTAGGATGGGGCTTTTTCCCTGAAAGAGCGGAGAGTCTGTTAAACTCGTGAGCAAAGTGCTGGAACTGGGTTAGTGGCCTCACCTGGTATCCCTCATCCAGTGATGGTCGCCCTTGGGAGGGTTCTCTGTCTGGCACTCCCAGGCCTGCACCTCTCCCTGGAACAGTGTGTGGGGTCATGGGCACTAACTTCCACACTGATTGGTCCCTGCTTCAGAGGAACATGGCAGGAATCTGTGCTCTGAGGGTCTCAGCACTTTGTGGAATTCAGACTTGACCTCAAGGAGGGGCTGCTTTGAGGGAAGGTGGTTGGGTACATTTTCCCAGAGTAGAATTAACAAAGGGCACCCAAAAATGTTCTCAGTTCAAGAAAGCAGTAAGTCCATCCGCTGATGGGAAGTAAAAAGAAAAGGGAGCCCAGGGGCCAAAGGGCATTTCATGAATCAAGATGTGAGGAGTGTTGTTATTTCAGGGTTAACCTGAAAAGAGGAAAACGCTATTTTGGGGGGCGGGGGGGTGTACAGCTTAGAAGGGAGGCATGGATAAGAATATTTCAAGGAGTATGGTCGGCCTCTGAGGTTTGCCTGCCTTTTCCCTTTTCCAGATGGTTCTTTAGATCAATTAGCCGGAAAGATGCTGAGAGGCAGCTTCTGGCTCCAATCAATAAGGCGGGCTCCTTTCTTATCAGAGAGAGTGAAACCAACAAAGGTAAGCATGGTGCCCAGTGCACCCTTCCTGTGTAGTCCTCAGGAAGCCCCCCTACCCCACCCCAGGCTGCTTCTGGGAATGCCAACCAGGGGAACCTAGAGGCTTCCGGGCCTCCTGTCTCTCTTTCAGTTCAGGCCCTGCCTGGCCAGCCCATCTAGTGTCCAGAAGCTGGGTGTGAGGCTATGGTGCCAACAGGTCTCCATTGGCTGGGCTGGACATGAACAGGGTGCAAGTAGGAGAGGCAGCTAGAGGGTTGCTCCCACCCAGGCTACTGTGCATCATCTCTGGCTCAGTGGGGACACTGAGGCTGGCGGGGTCTGAAGAGAGGGAGAGACCCAGAGCCATGTTTTGGAATCAAAGGATTTGGGAGCCCATAGACCCCTTAGAAATCATCTCAGCCGAGGCACTTAGAGTCACCTGGAAGGTGACAGAGTTTGGAGAAAGGCCCGTGGCTGGGTATGAAAGACTGGGGTAGCCATTGTGGAGAATGGGGAGCACTCATGGATTCAAACCCCCGTTGACCAAAACATTTCTGCCACCGCCCGCAGTCCACCGGGCTTTCTCTTTCTCTTTCGTTTGGTTTTCTCTCCTTCTTTCCTTCTTAAAGTTACTTTTGTTATGACATATAAAACATACAAAACTTGCATAAATTATAAGTGAGGGTATAATTACAGAGTCATAACAAGGAAACACCTGTGCAGCCACAGCAGAGTGAACATTCCGAATATCCACAGCCCCTCTCACCACTCCACTTGTGCCCCTTTCTGACTCAACCTACCCACCCCCCCCAAGAGAAATCATGGCTATCTCAACTCTTAAGGAAATCCTCTTTTCTTTTTCTTATTTTTTTAAAGATTTTTTTTATTTATTTGAGAGAGAGAGCGCTCACAAACAGAGGGAAGGACAGAAGGAGAAGCAGACTCCTCACTGAGCAGGGAGCCCGATGCCAGTTCTATCCCAGGACCTTGGGATCATGACCTGAGCTGAAGGCAGATGTTTAACGGACTGAGCCACCCAAGTGCCCCAAATTTTAGGGAAATCCTTTCTTGCTTTTCCTTATGGTTTTACCACCCATGTTTCGCGTATTCTTCAACTTGATGCAAGTGGAATCATCCTATTTTTATTTTTGTATGTCTTGTCCCTTCCACTTGACATCGTTTGTTACAGTCTATATTAATTTACTAGGCCTGCTGTAATAAAGTACCAGAAACTGGGGGTGCTTCACAGAAATATATTGTGTCGTGGTGGTGCTGGAGGCTGGCAGTCCGAGATAGAGGTGGCGGCAGGATTGGTTTCTTCTGAGGCTTCTCTCCTTGGCTTGTAGATGGCCACCTTCTCCCTGTGTCCTGACCTGGTCTGTCCTCAGTCTGTGTCCTAATCTTTTCTAACAAGAACACCAGCCATGTTGGATTAGTCAACCCCCCACCCCCGCTAATGACCTTAGTAGTTACTCTTTAAAGATCCCATTGCCAAATAGAGTCACGTTCTGAGCTACTGGAGGACTCCAATATAGGAATTTGGGAGGGACACAATTCAGCCCATAACAGGTACCCTCGTGTTGTTGAGGACAGTGGTCCATTCACATTCACTGCTCTACAGAGCCCAGCATATAAATATTCTGTAAGCTGTTCCTCCTTTCTAACGTTGGGAGACATATGCTGTCTCCAGCTTGTGGCTGTTATGAACCTGCTGCTCTGAACCTTATTATATATGCTTCCTGGTACATATTTGCCATTCTTGGGATGCTGAGCTAATAGCCCCATTTGAAAGATGAGGAAACTGAGTCTTTAAGGGAAGAAATGACTCCCATGAGGCCAACAGTGAACAGGGATCAGAGGATCAGAACCCAAGTCATCTAAGAGACTTTACAAGGTCTACAGTGTGTCCAGTTGGCCTATCGTGAGCTGATGGAGGCAAATTTCCCTGAGTAACACGAAGGAAGCCTTTGTTCATCATGACATGGCACATAAGGACCTCGTACATCCTTGTGACCAATTTTTAACTGGAGGAGAGGTGGTGACAGTGACATCAGAGGAGGAAGGGGAGAGATGATGGCTGGGCTGCAAGCTGGTTCCCTGTGGTTGGGGCAATGAGAGGAGACAGAGGTTCTGCTTAGTGGGAGCACCCCGCCAGCCTTGCCTCCAGCTCCATCACAGCTTGAGAACCACAGCGAGTGGAAGCCCCAGAGCAGCAAACAAGGGACAAAGAGGGCGGCTCATTACACCCTGGGACGCTCGGGGGAGATCCCAATGCCTCCCTGCCCTTCAAAGGGTCAGGGCCAGGTTGAGGAGTAGGGGGTGTGCATTGGTAAGTTGGGTGGTCTATACCACCCAATTTCCAGAAATGTACCAGTGGATAAATTAAATCCATATATATATCTATATATGGATATTGCCATATTGCCACTATTCCATTTTAATGGCAAAGCACCTTTGACCAAGAAGCGATTTGGGAATCACTGGAGATGACATACCTCTTTGTTTTTAGAGAGTATTTCAAACATGTACAGAAGTAGAGAGAATAGTATAATGGAACCCCTGTGTGTAACATTCTGCTTGGACAGTGATCTCTCAGTCAATCCTATTTTCTGTGTATTCCCACCCACCCCTACTATGTTGACTCAAGTCCCAGAATCATGTGATTTCACCCTGGACATGAAGTCTTAGTCATTGTCTATTGCTAAGGTGCCCTCAGAAGAAAGGGACCCCCCCAACCTCAGGATAGAGGAAGGGGTTCTCTAAAGGTGGGGGTACCCCTCTTGTCCTTGCCCACCATGGAGAAGCTAGTCCAAGCTGGAAATTGGCCAGTTGGAGGCAGGGCTGCAGGACTGCCCCAGCATCATCAAGCCCACACACACAGACGGACATAGACACATGTGCACACATGCTCCTCAGAACTCTGAAGCAAGTGCCCTCCCTCTGCATCTGAAAACTGCAGCCAGCGGATGGAAGACGGGGAAGGAACACTGCCCACAGAAGCTGGGGAAGTGAATTCTCACTCCGTATTGCCTCTGTTGTCTCTTAGCCTCTCAAACCTCTGTTTATGGGTACCTGGGTGAGGATCAGCTAGTTTCCCAGTCTGAAGGGCACAGTTCTGCGGGCATTAAATCTCAATCTCTGGGAGCCCTGAACCAGCAGTTGAAAGTATTTGGAGGAATAACAATAAGAAGGATATTAAACTGTGAAAAGAAATGGGAGACAGGCCCTTGGATGAACCCCGGGCAAGCTGGAAGCCCTAAATCATGAGCTCCAGTAGCAGCATCGTGGGGAGGAGAGCAGGGTCTCCTAGGCTTCTTATGATGCAGCCTACACGAAGTCCAGCTGAAAAGGAAAAAAAAAAAAAAAAAAAAAAAAAAAAAAAAAAAGAGGAGTGGGGAAGAAAGGCCCTCTTCCTCACTACCCGGGTGGCGTAAGGTTCAATGAACTCATTAGAGCCACTCTCCTGTTTCTTAGATAGTGAGACCCGGTTGCACTTACCGGGGGCCGAGGCAGGGGAGACAGTTTGCAGCCAGCAGGGCGGGCTGCGGTCGCGGGCGTAGGATGGGCCTGGCGACAGCAAGGTGCACACACATCTTGCATGGTTTGTAAGTAGGTGGTGAGAGGCGCAATAGCTAAGGGAGCTGAGAGGGAAAGGTGGTTTGCGAGGGAGACTTAACAGCACCGCGGAAAAACCAGGCATGCACACCCAGAAGAAGAGGCGTCCGAGCCTGACACCTAGCGGTGGAGCTTTGTATCGCTTACCGCAAAAACGTCCTCTCCGAGGATGGGGAACCTTCAACCGGCCACTAGCATTCCCCTTCCTGACCTCAGTTTTCTCATCTTCCCATTAAGAGTAGCGGGCGTGTTACCCAGAGAGCTGGACAGAGACATTTTATAAGAATATCAAGTCGTGGATAGACGTTTCTCCAGTGGAAACTCTTGCCTCCTAAATTGATCTTAACCTTTAGCATCTGCTATCCCTGTCTGCAGGCAGACAGTAATATACATGACAAGGTGCAGAGATGTTTATGAATTTGAATAGAATTCCTGGGAAATAGCTTATTATATTCTCCTCCACGGACATGAGTGCTTAAGTTTGGTGTTTGCTATTCCTTGTGGGGGCAGAGCCAGCCTTTTCAGCTAGAATGAGTGAGTTGAATGAATCCAGGAATCTATCAATCCTCTAGTTCCTCCAATAACTCTACATTTCTCAATAAATAGTCCATGGCCAAGGGGAGGTCCCTGGATGACCAGATGCCCAAGTAGGGGACAGCATGTTTGCTTCAGAGCTCTGGGATTCCCTGCCTGAGTTTTGGGAGATAAACATCAAGGTCTGAGTTGGGTGGCGAGGATAGGGAAGGCTTTCTGGAGGGCTGAGGTTGAGATGAAAGAAAGGCAACTTATGGTGGAAAGAGTTAAAAGGGAGGGCAGAATTTGGGTGGTTTTGAAATGAAGCCCAAATCTCAACCCTGATTTTCCCTCTGTATGCCTTGTGTGTTTATTACTCCTCTAGGTGCCTTTTCCTTGACTGTGAAGGATGTGACCACCCAGGGGGAGATGATCAAACACTACAAGATCCGCTCCCTGGATGAAGGGGGCTATTACATCTCCCCCCGCATCACCTTCCCTACACTCCAGGCTTTGGTGCAACATTATTCTCGTAAGAGGGGAGGATGTGATAGGGGTGCAGAGGAGCCCTTGGATCTATCACGAGATCTCAAGATCATGTGAATCACTGGTGCCATCTTAGGGTAGGGGGTTATCCCAAAGCTGGGCAAATATCGGCACAGTGATTCAAAGTCGATTTCCCTAATCCTTTCTACTGACTCACTCAGCATATGACCACTTGGAGCATAACTAGGATTTTCAGTCTTAGAGCAGGTCAATGACAGCATGCCTTGCTTTATGCAAAATGAATGCAAATAGCAGAGAGTGTGTATAGCAAATGTGAACACAGGCATATGTGTACTTGGACATGGGAGTGTGGTTGGCAAAAACAAGAAGGGGACACAGCTGGGAAGGATATGGTTCCCGAGGGAGACCTGTGATCGGGCTACTGTGGTAATCTCCAGCCCCATCTCTTCTTCCCTAATGCAGAGAAAGGGGATGGTTTATGCCAGAGGCTGACCCAACCCTGTGTGAGCCTGGCTCCTCAAAACCCCTGGGCCCAGGATGAATGGGAAATCCCCCGGCAGTCTCTCAAGCTGGTCAGGAAACTCGGGTCTGGGCAGTTTGGCGATGTCTGGATGGGTGAGTATGTGGTAGCCAGAAGCCTCTCTCTCCCTGCCCTGTGTCCTGAAGCACAGAAGGCTCGGGACATGCACACTGTATTGTGCTTCCCCAGAAAGCTTGTTTGGGAGAAGGGCCAGAGGCGATGGTACCCATTTTACAGATGAGGTAATGAAGGCAAGTCTGAGACACTGCAGTGACTTGCCCTCCGCTGTCAGGACACCACGGTGGTGCAGTAGGAACAGACTCCAGCTCTCCCAACACCTTAGTTGGTTCCCTCCCTCACTTTTCACTGCTCGGGGATAGCCTGCCATGAACTGGTGTGTGAACTTGAACATCCTCTTAGTTTTGGTTTGCCAGATGGAAATGACCTGTTCAACATGGTCAACGGTGACCCAGGAATTCCAAAAGTCTAATAATAGACCAAGCCACTGCTTGTAGCTGTGTGACGAGCTAGGTCACTGAGCTCCCCGGTCCCTGTACGTGTAGCTGACGACCACTCTTGTACTCACCAAGAGCACTAGCAAACTATGAAAGGCAGTGCTTTATTTTATCCCTGGACCGGTCCATAGCTCTGGGGCATGATACCCAGGTGAGATCCTACTGTGTCCCCAAACCCTCCTCCAGCACCCGGGACTGATGCCTGAAACACCTATGTGCGGAGCCCTACATAGGTCCTTGCAAAGATCCCCTGAGAAGGACGTGTCAATTATGATTTATCTTTTACCTTTCAGTGTGGATGAGGGAGCTTGATGGAGGGAGGGGAGAATGTGGAGGTACGGGGGAAGGAAAGTTGCAGGGCACAGAAAGAAGGGAAAGAGATCTACAAGCCACCTCTGCCTCCTCAGCAGTGTTGCCATGGGCTGTGATGCCCATTTCCATGCTGAAGCTATCGTGTGGTGGAAGAGACTCAGGTCGGGAGAGGAGGCAGGCTATAGGGAGGACAGAAGGGACATGGCACACCAGGACAGACCTCGTGCAGGGGCTAGGAGGTAAAACAGCCTCCCTCCAGGCAGGGAAGTTTCTCAACTTCCTGAGGCTCCAGTCAGGCACAAGAGGCTGAGACAGGCTGGCATCCTGCAGGAAAAGCCAGCTCATCTGTCACCTATAGGACCTGAACGTTCGAGTCCAGGGCTCCACTCTAGGGGACAGTTCTAACCTCAGTCCTCCACCTATAGAATAAGGATGGCTCCTGGAAGCTTATAGACATTTTAGTGAAGTGATCACCTCCCATAGTGTCCGGATCTTCTGAACGGTTTCTTTATTCTCTCTCCGACCCGTCTCAGGTTATTACAAGAACAATGTGAAAGTGGCCATCAAGACCTTAAAGGAGGGAACCATGTCTCCGGAGGCCTTCCTGGCAGAGGCCAACATGATGAAAACTCTCCAGCATGAGAGGCTAGTTCGTCTTTACGCCGTGGTCACCAAGGAACCCATTTACATCGTGACCGAGTACATGGCCAGAGGTGGTGCTCTGCATGGGGCTGCATCGTCAGACAGGGGTGGGAAGGGGCAGGGTCAAGGCTTGAGGAGCCCAGAAAGCTGAGGCTGATCTGCTGCAGTGGGTCTGCCAGTGAGGGGACCTCCATGGGGGATCCCTGGGCCATGGGCCCCACCAATTAGCCAATATCCTACAGATCTTAGGTTTTCCACGGGACTGAGGGGCAGGAAGGAAGGACGGTGGGAAACAATATGGGTCAATGGTTCTTCCAGAGCTGTGTCCCGCATTCAGACACACTTCAGGCAACATTTTTGGAGGGCATCTTCTATGCCCAGCATTGTTTGATGCCCACTAGGGAGGGCAGAGCACTGCCAAGAGTGCTCGACTGGGCATCCAGAGATGGTTCTGGCCCCAGTTCTGCCACTCACTAGCCATGGACCTCTGACAACCATAAATGACATCATGGGTGAAAAGAGAGATCAGGCCAGCTGGCCATGGAAGTCCACAGTGGAGCCAAGATCTCATGGGGCAGTGGGTGGGGGTCAGCCTGTGAGCTCCTTCCCACCCTTCCTGTGACCCTGATTGCCCAACGCTTCTGTAGGATCCTAACCTGCCATGTTAACCTAACTCCTTAGAAATCATCCTCAAGGGGGTCCCACATTGAGCTGGGAGCACAATGCCTCCGCCGCCCACCCAGCCCCCCCTCAGGTGGCCATCCCTCCCAGTTCTTAGATGTCACGGTGGAGCTGCATTTGTCCCCTGCACCAAACCCCAGGAGGCAGGGACCCTTGGTCCTCAGAGACAGAATCTCTGCCAACAAAGGGTGAAGGGGACAGGAAGACGCTGTGGGACATCATGCCAGGAACAGGCACTGAATACAGAGTCGGGAGATCAGGTTCTGCTCCTGGCTCCCCGGCTGGGTGGCTCTGACCCTTGCTGAAACTGAACTTCCTCTGAGCAGCTGGGAGCACAGTGGCTGCCACCTGGGATGCTCTGACGACCGAGACTAGAATTTCTGTAAAGCAGAAAGCACTCTGCAGCTGTGGGTGGTTTTGTTCTCTGTGTACCGGAGATCTGACAGGGTGCCCCATGCTTCCTGACACCAGGTTGGGGGCAGCGCACACATGGGAGGGACCGGCACAGCCGGGGTTGGTTCATTTTGCACAAGAGTGGTTGCAACTTCTCTCTCCTTAGGATGCTTGCTGGATTTCCTGAAGACGGATGAAGGTAGCAGATTGTCCCTCCCCAGACTGATCGACATGTCAGCCCAGGTTTGTGAGCTATCAAGTACAGCAAAGCTCAGGAGTAGTGATGACCAAATGAACCCAGAACCCCACCTTCTCCTCTGTGCCTTGTGGCTTCATGAAACTGGCTCTTCAGAGGTTGTAGCCACTCAATTAAGGCTGGGCTGGGAAGGGCAGAAAACACAGAGTAATAACGGTTTAAATTTGTAAACATCCAGAGGTGTTCTGTGTGGGGGCCAGTAAGTGGGTCTTTCCCTCAAAGACACAGGGACCCACATTTCTTCCATCTGCTCAGCACTTAGCATGTCATCTAAGCCCACCTTCTTCCTTCTAACAGCTGAGCCACTTAGCCTTCCCACCTTCTTCCTTCTAGAGACATGTCATGTCCCTGAAGTCACCTACTATCTTTACTTTGACATTTCTTTCCTTGCCCCCAACCATGTCACCTGGCCACACCCAGGCTGCGAGGGAGGTTGGGAAATGCAGTCTTTATTCTGGGCCATTGGGATGAAGTGAGGTGAGTCCAATTATTCCTAAAGAGAAGGAGAACGGATGGTGTGGGAAACCCGGAGGGTTCACCTGAATTCCATGTGACAATGTAGGCAGGCATGTCGTGACCTCCTTTCTTCCTCAGATTATGCCCACAAATGCCTTCTCCAGCAGGTGAATCACAGTCCAGGCTTCATGAGGTGAAGAGCAAAAGGAAGAGAAGGGGTCGTTCCTCCCCGGGGATGTTAGCCAAGGGTTCTAACTGGCAGGGAAACACATCTGATGGCCCTGAGTGTGTGTGTCTGCTAAAACTGGAACTCTCAGCAGAAAAGCTCTGGTCTGTGGTCAGCCGGTGAGACCCGGAAACACTCACACATCCGCCTCCAGAGAGGAAACCTCCCCCTCACCCTACACCACCACCCCATCCCCACCTTGTCTGGTATTATCTGTTATTAGTATCAGTGCAGGAACTGATGTCACCATGCCCTTTTTCCACTGAGGTTAGCGCACCTGGGTTTGGGTAGGGTGCTGAGTGGTCTCGGAAAATTAACACTGGTAACCAGCCTCAAACCACAAAAGAGTGATAAGAGTGGCCACCCCTTCTTTCTTTCTTTCTTTGCCTTTCTCACTCTCCTCTGTCTCTTTCTCAGTCCCTAGGGAAATCTTGGGTCTTCCCAGGGGCAAAGGATGTGAAAAGCCACCTGCATTTATACCTAGGGGTGGCCAAGAATCTAAGGGTTAGAAACCAGAAAATCAGAACCTTCCAAGTGAACAGCTTCTAAACCCCATTCTAGTCATGCTTGCGTCTCAGCACACACGTGTGTGGACACACACACACATACACACGACCCTTCTGGGCGCTCCTTTTCCTGCTTTGCAGGATGAAATGCAAATCCCGCCTACAACCATAATTCATGTGCCCTACTTTGCAGCCCCACAGCACCACCACTACCCCCCCCCCCCGCCGATGTCCTCTCACACCCCTGAGCCCTCACTCATTCTGCTGCAGGTGCTGTTTAACCACCTGGCTCCTGCACCTCCGGACACGTGTCCAGACCAAGGTAAGAAGGGGCTGCTTTTGAAGCCGAGGCTCTCCAGTCCATCTGCCCTGGGCCCAGGCTCTGTGCAGGCAGAACAGGGGCCCAGCTGGAAGCAGCTTCCTGGAGAGGACGGGGAGGCCCTCCAGGGTCAGAGAGGCAGAGGCTATGGGGGGGAGGCAACTAAACCAGGCATAGCGAGGGGTGTGGCCCAACTCTGCCCCAGGCTTCACCTGCCCCCGGGGGCCCCTCCGGGAACCAAGACCCAGTTCCTGTAACTGAGCCTGGGTGGTTTTTGTGTTTTGTTTTTCAAAAAAGAACTACAAACTATAAATGAGACAAAAAGAAAAATGTTACAATAAATACAAACAGCAAAAAAACAAAACCAAGTTTTCTTTTTTTTTTTTTAAGATTTTATTTATTTATTTGGCAGACAGAGATCACAAGTAGGCAGAGAGGCAGGCAGAGAGAAAGAGGGGGAAGCAGGCTCCCTGCTGAGCAGAAAGCCTGATGCTGGACTCGATCCCAGGACCCTGGGATCATGACCTGAGCAGAAGGCAGAGGCTTTAACCTAGTGAGCCACCCAGGTGCCCCCAAAACCAAGTTTTCAAAGATTCTAACTCAGTCAACTGACTGAGGGCAAGGGCCGATGGGTCTGAGTATTCCCTCCTGCCCTGAGTCTGTTCCGAGAAAGATAGAAAGCACTATCTTTCTCCCCAACTTCCCCACTTTGCAAAGCTGCTGCTGGCCTTCTGACCACTCATGCCACCCTCCCTCACCCCGTCTCTGCTGGTGGGTAGGACAGTGGGGGATCGTGTAATGAGTGACCATGGCCCTCCTGGGTCAGGGGTTTGGAGCCTGGGGAGCGGGTGTGGCTCACAGGATGGTCGCTTCCTTCAGAACTGGCTTGCAGGAGCATGAGGAGCTCTGACAGCCTGGGTCCCTCATGGCCTCACCCGGCATGCACTGAGCAAACAGTACCTACTCTGTCCAAATACTGGGGAGGCTATAAAATTGAATAAGACGTGGCTCCTCAACCTGAGAGAGCTCAGAGTCTGTCAAGCTCCCAAACAAAGTGCTGAAACCAGATGTTTCTCATCCTGGTGTTTCTCATCCTGCTGGGACTCACGATTGATTACCACAAGGCTCGTCCTTCATTTCCTACTTGTGGGGGAGGGGTGGCGGTTCACAGCCCCAGCAAGGAAGCCCTAGGGAAAGCAATAAACTAACTTCCTTCGATGCAAAGACTTGAATCTTAGAACTGGAGGTGGGGGGCATCGTCATCTATTCCAATCCCCTCTTCCCCCCATGGGGAGGTGACTAGCCGTCACACCACACATCGGTGACAAAGCTGAGTCATCCGCTCCCAGGTGATCAAAGTGGTCTCCAAGTGACCTTTTCCAGTGGCTCTTGGCTCTCCAGAGCTGGCAGAAAAGCCCTCCTTACTCGCAGTGGCCATTTGGATGTCCATTCCTGGGACTAGCAGCAAGTCAGGGTACCACCTGCCAGGAGCACAAGGCCACAGTTACAGGTCAAGGTTATAGCAGCCACGTTCCCAAGACCACTACCCTCTTTGGAATAGAGGTAGGAAGGGGCAGTTGAGGAAGGGGAAGAGAAGGGAAGCTGATGTGACTTTGAGGCAATAAGGAATCAGCCAACGCTCATTCCCAAACTTGGGATGGCAGCCTTCAGCCCAGTGCAGCCAATCTCTCTAAATCTTTGGGCTAGCTACTCCCTGAGAGGGTAGCTCTGGCCAGGCCTTAGGGCTTTGATGTGGAGACCAGAAGGGATGACAGGGTGGACTCTAGGGGCAGCCTGTCCTTATTCCCGGCAGCAAAGTTAGAACGTCAGTCTGGTAGACAGGAGATCCCCTGCTGCCTCGGTGAGCGAGAAAGCACACCACAGTTTCCCCTCTGTCCCTGTGTCCTCCTGACCTCATGGCAGCCAGAAATGGCCCACAACACAGACTCACCCAGCCCCTGCCCTCACTCTACTGGGCCCAAGCGGTGCACATCTCTTCCTTGTTCCCTCTAGAGGAGCACTTCGTGGTGGCCCTGTATGACTACAGCTCAGTGAATGACAGGGACCTGCAGATCCTGAAGGGGGAGAAGCTAAAGATACTGAAGGAGTAAGTTCCTGGAATGCGGTCCTGTGGTCAGGGGACTCTGAGCCTCCCTATCACAGTGGGACAGCCAACCAGCCGTCCACCTCCTCACACCACCCCATCCCTGCCCTCCATGAGTATCTCCTCTATCGCTCCACCCCCAGTCCAGTCACCCACCATTTCTTTTTACCTTGACCCAGTTTTCTCCTTCTATCTACTGTTCCAAAGTCTTTCTCACAAGGTGGCTTCCATTCACTATCTCCCATTCCACTGTCAAAATCGTACTTCTCCTTCAAAACTACCTCAAACATCACCTCCTCCATAAAGCCCTCCTGACGGGCACAGCGCTTGCCTGGCTGCTCCGCCACAGGTTTGTGTGTCTCCCTTGCCAGTCAGGACCTCGCACAGGATTCTGCTCATGAAATCATCTTTACTTAATTTCTAGGGCTCCCTCTCAGAAACTCCTCCAAAGTCTGCTCTCTCTCAAACGTCGGGCTTTTTCTGTGGAGCCCGGAGGTTCTGCTTTTGTTCTTGAAGTTCTGCGATGGCCTTGAGCCCAAAGCACAAAAGCCTCGACCTTCTGGGCACACACGTGGGCTGCCCGGCTCCTCCTTTGGGCAGCATCTCTCCTCCTGCTATTGTCTTTCCTGTCTGGTCCCATTTCCCTCACTAAACTCTCAATCTGTCCCATTAACCGAGAGGAAGGCTACTCACGGAAAACAGGGGCCCTCTGACGTGGTCAGGCTGTCTGGACAAACTCTTCCTCTGGAGTCTTCACCAACCCCTTCCTCCCTGGACCAGTCTGTGAGATGCTCAGCAAGTTTGCACCACCAGCCCCCGCCCCACTGAGCAACTCGTACCAGTTCCTTCTCATCTGCCCTCCGTGCATCCTCTGCCTCAGAGATGGGATCGGAGTTGGGGAAGGGCTGTGAGCGCCCCCCAGAGATACCCACAGGAGCCACTATGCCATTTTGGTTTTCCCTCCTCTGTAGAGTTGGAGACTGGTGGTTGGCCAGGTCTCTCATCACTGGAAGAGAAGGCTATGTGCCCAGCAACTTTGTGGCCCGAGTGGAGACCTTGGAAGTAGAAAAGTAGGTGGACACACGGAGGGCCCTTCAAAGCCGAGGCCCACTTGCTGCTTCTGCCCTGGGGGCTGCTGGGCAGGGAGGGGTCGGAAAGGGACTGAAAGGTGAGACTCTGGGAGCATAGCATGGAGGGAGCTAGAAAGGGGCATAACTGGGGCTGCTGGGAAGTGTTATCCACAGACCCAGACAGCCTGGTGCTCAGGGAACCACTCCTCTGTGCTCACCTCACTCTTCCCATCTGTGAAATGGAACTGCTCCTCCCCTGATTTATTTGGATGTAAACGTCCCTACAGGCCTGTGACCTTGCAAGCTAACCTTGAGGCATGATGATCAGCTCCCTCTCCTCTAGGGCCTCCGATGGGCAGGACTTAGGGGTACTCACAGCAGTACTCCCCAGAACCCTCATAACCCACTTCTGCATAGCACCAGTCACTCATTCCCTCCTACAACATGCACTGAACAAACAGAACCCAGACTCTGACTCTGTCCACATGTGGAGAAAGCTGTAGAAATGAGTAGGATGGGGCTTTTTCCCTGAAAGAGCGGAGAGTCTGTTAAACTCGTGAGCAAAGTGCTGGAACTGGGTTAGTGGCCTCACCTGGTATCCCTCATCCAGTGATGGTCGCCCTTGGGAGGGTTCTCTGTCTGGCACTCCCAGGCCTGCACCTCTCCCTGGAACAGTGTGTGGGGTCATGGGCACTAACTTCCACACTGATTGGTCCCTGCTTCAGAGGAACATGGCAGGAATCTGTGCTCTGAGGGTCTCAGCACTTTGTGGAATTCAGACTTGACCTCAAGGAGGGGCTGCTTTGAGGGAAGGTGGTTGGGTACATTTTCCCAGAGTAGAATTAACAAAGGGCACCCAAAAATGTTCTCAGTTCAAGAAAGCAGTAAGTCCATCCGCTGATGGGAAGTAAAAAGAAAAGGGAGCCCAGGGGCCAAAGGGCATTTCATGAATCAAGATGTGAGGAGTGTTGTTATTTCAGGGTTAACCTGAAAAGAGGAAAACGCTATTTTGGGGGGCGGGGGGGTGTACAGCTTAGAAGGGAGGCATGGATAAGAATATTTCAAGGAGTATGGTCGGCCTCTGAGGTTTGCCTGCCTTTTCCCTTTTCCAGATGGTTCTTTAGATCAATTAGCCGGAAAGATGCTGAGAGGCAGCTTCTGGCTCCAATCAATAAGGCGGGCTCCTTTCTTATCAGAGAGAGTGAAACCAACAAAGGTAAGCATGGTGCCCAGTGCACCCTTCCTGTGTAGTCCTCAGGAAGCCCCCCTACCCCACCCCAGGCTGCTTCTGGGAATGCCAACCAGGGGAACCTAGAGGCTTCCGGGCCTCCTGTCTCTCTTTCAGTTCAGGCCCTGCCTGGCCAGCCCATCTAGTGTCCAGAAGCTGGGTGTGAGGCTATGGTGCCAACAGGTCTCCATTGGCTGGGCTGGACATGAACAGGGTGCAAGTAGGAGAGGCAGCTAGAGGGTTGCTCCCACCCAGGCTACTGTGCATCATCTCTGGCTCAGTGGGGACACTGAGGCTGGCGGGGTCTGAAGAGAGGGAGAGACCCAGAGCCATGTTTTGGAATCAAAGGATTTGGGAGCCCATAGACCCCTTAGAAATCATCTCAGCCGAGGCACTTAGAGTCACCTGGAAGGTGACAGAGTTTGGAGAAAGGCCCGTGGCTGGGTATGAAAGACTGGGGTAGCCATTGTGGAGAATGGGGAGCACTCATGGATTCAAACCCCCGTTGACCAAAACATTTCTGCCACCGCCCGCAGTCCACCGGGCTTTCTCTTTCTCTTTCGTTTGGTTTTCTCTCCTTCTTTCCTTCTTAAAGTTACTTTTGTTATGACATATAAAACATACAAAACTTGCATAAATTATAAGTGAGGGTATAATTACAGAGTCATAACAAGGAAACACCTGTGCAGCCACAGCAGAGTGAACATTCCGAATATCCACAGCCCCTCTCACCACTCCACTTGTGCCCCTTTCTGACTCAACCTACCCACCCCCCCCAAGAGAAATCATGGCTATCTCAACTCTTAAGGAAATCCTCTTTTCTTTTTCTTATTTTTTTAAAGATTTTTTTTATTTATTTGAGAGAGAGAGCGCTCACAAACAGAGGGAAGGACAGAAGGAGAAGCAGACTCCTCACTGAGCAGGGAGCCCGATGCCAGTTCTATCCCAGGACCTTGGGATCATGACCTGAGCTGAAGGCAGATGTTTAACGGACTGAGCCACCCAAGTGCCCCAAATTTTAGGGAAATCCTTTCTTGCTTTTCCTTATGGTTTTACCACCCATGTTTCGCGTATTCTTCAACTTGATGCAAGTGGAATCATCCTATTTTTATTTTTGTATGTCTTGTCCCTTCCACTTGACATCGTTTGTTACAGTCTATATTAATTTACTAGGCCTGCTGTAATAAAGTACCAGAAACTGGGGGTGCTTCACAGAAATATATTGTGTCGTGGTGGTGCTGGAGGCTGGCAGTCCGAGATAGAGGTGGCGGCAGGATTGGTTTCTTCTGAGGCTTCTCTCCTTGGCTTGTAGATGGCCACCTTCTCCCTGTGTCCTGACCTGGTCTGTCCTCAGTCTGTGTCCTAATCTTTTCTAACAAGAACACCAGCCATGTTGGATTAGTCAACCCCCCACCCCCGCTAATGACCTTAGTAGTTACTCTTTAAAGATCCCATTGCCAAATAGAGTCACGTTCTGAGCTACTGGAGGACTCCAATATAGGAATTTGGGAGGGACACAATTCAGCCCATAACAGGTACCCTCGTGTTGTTGAGGACAGTGGTCCATTCACATTCACTGCTCTACAGAGCCCAGCATATAAATATTCTGTAAGCTGTTCCTCCTTTCTAACGTTGGGAGACATATGCTGTCTCCAGCTTGTGGCTGTTATGAACCTGCTGCTCTGAACCTTATTATATATGCTTCCTGGTACATATTTGCCATTCTTGGGATGCTGAGCTAATAGCCCCATTTGAAAGATGAGGAAACTGAGTCTTTAAGGGAAGAAATGACTCCCATGAGGCCAACAGTGAACAGGGATCAGAGGATCAGAACCCAAGTCATCTAAGAGACTTTACAAGGTCTACAGTGTGTCCAGTTGGCCTATCGTGAGCTGATGGAGGCAAATTTCCCTGAGTAACACGAAGGAAGCCTTTGTTCATCATGACATGGCACATAAGGACCTCGTACATCCTTGTGACCAATTTTTAACTGGAGGAGAGGTGGTGACAGTGACATCAGAGGAGGAAGGGGAGAGATGATGGCTGGGCTGCAAGCTGGTTCCCTGTGGTTGGGGCAATGAGAGGAGACAGAGGTTCTGCTTAGTGGGAGCACCCCGCCAGCCTTGCCTCCAGCTCCATCACAGCTTGAGAACCACAGCGAGTGGAAGCCCCAGAGCAGCAAACAAGGGACAAAGAGGGCGGCTCATTACACCCTGGGACGCTCGGGGGAGATCCCAATGCCTCCCTGCCCTTCAAAGGGTCAGGGCCAGGTTGAGGAGTAGGGGGTGTGCATTGGTAAGTTGGGTGGTCTATACCACCCAATTTCCAGAAATGTACCAGTGGATAAATTAAATCCATATATATATCTATATATGGATATTGCCATATTGCCACTATTCCATTTTAATGGCAAAGCACCTTTGACCAAGAAGCGATTTGGGAATCACTGGAGATGACATACCTCTTTGTTTTTAGAGAGTATTTCAAACATGTACAGAAGTAGAGAGAATAGTATAATGGAACCCCTGTGTGTAACATTCTGCTTGGACAGTGATCTCTCAGTCAATCCTATTTTCTGTGTATTCCCACCCACCCCTACTATGTTGACTCAAGTCCCAGAATCATGTGATTTCACCCTGGACATGAAGTCTTAGTCATTGTCTATTGCTAAGGTGCCCTCAGAAGAAAGGGACCCCCCCAACCTCAGGATAGAGGAAGGGGTTCTCTAAAGGTGGGGGTACCCCTCTTGTCCTTGCCCACCATGGAGAAGCTAGTCCAAGCTGGAAATTGGCCAGTTGGAGGCAGGGCTGCAGGACTGCCCCAGCATCATCAAGCCCACACACACAGACGGACATAGACACATGTGCACACATGCTCCTCAGAACTCTGAAGCAAGTGCCCTCCCTCTGCATCTGAAAACTGCAGCCAGCGGATGGAAGACGGGGAAGGAACACTGCCCACAGAAGCTGGGGAAGTGAATTCTCACTCCGTATTGCCTCTGTTGTCTCTTAGCCTCTCAAACCTCTGTTTATGGGTACCTGGGTGAGGATCAGCTAGTTTCCCAGTCTGAAGGGCACAGTTCTGCGGGCATTAAATCTCAATCTCTGGGAGCCCTGAACCAGCAGTTGAAAGTATTTGGAGGAATAACAATAAGAAGGATATTAAACTGTGAAAAGAAATGGGAGACAGGCCCTTGGATGAACCCCGGGCAAGCTGGAAGCCCTAAATCATGAGCTCCAGTAGCAGCATCGTGGGGAGGAGAGCAGGGTCTCCTAGGCTTGTTATGATGCAGCCTACACGAAGTCCAGCTGAAAAGGAAAAAAAAAAAAAAAAAAAAAAAAAAAAAGAGGAGTGGGGAAGAAAGGCCCTCTTCCTCACTACCCGGGTGGCGTAAGGTTCAATGAACTCATTAGAGCCACTCTCCTGTTTCTTAGATAGTGAGACCCGGTTGCACTTACCGGGGGCCGAGGCAGGGGAGACAGTTTGCAGCCAGCAGGGCGGGCTGCGGTCGCGGGCGTAGGATGGGCCTGGCGACAGCAAGGTGCACACACATCTTGCATGGTTTGTAAGTAGGTGGTGAGAGGCGCAATAGCTAAGGGAGCTGAGAGGGAAAGGTGGTTTGCGAGGGAGACTTAACAGCACCGCGGAAAAACCAGGCATGCACACCCAGAAGAAGAGGCGTCCGAGCCTGACACCTAGCGGTGGAGCTTTGTATCGCTTACCGCAAAAACGTCCTCTCCGAGGATGGGGAACCTTCAACCGGCCACTAGCATTCCCCTTCCTGACCTCAGTTTTCTCATCTTCCCATTAAGAGTAGCGGGCGTGTTACCCAGAGAGCTGGACAGAGACATTTTATAAGAATATCAAGTCGTGGATAGACGTTTCTCCAGTGGAAACTCTTGCCTCCTAAATTGATCTTAACCTTTAGCATCTGCTATCCCTGTCTGCAGGCAGACAGTAATATACATGACAAGGTGCAGAGATGTTTATGAATTTGAATAGAATTCCTGGGAAATAGCTTATTATATTCTCCTCCACGGACATGAGTGCTTAAGTTTGGTGTTTGCTATTCCTTGTGGGGGCAGAGCCAGCCTTTTCAGCTAGAATGAGTGAGTTGAATGAATCCAGGAATCTATCAATCCTCTAGTTCCTCCAATAACTCTACATTTCTCAATAAATAGTCCATGGCCAAGGGGAGGTCCCTGGATGACCAGATGCCCAAGTAGGGGACAGCATGTTTGCTTCAGAGCTCTGGGATTCCCTGCCTGAGTTTTGGGAGATAAACATCAAGGTCTGAGTTGGGTGGCGAGGATAGGGAAGGCTTTCTGGAGGGCTGAGGTTGAGATGAAAGAAAGGCAACTTATGGTGGAAAGAGTTAAAAGGGAGGGCAGAATTTGGGTGGTTTTGAAATGAAGCCCAAATCTCAACCCTGATTTTCCCTCTGTATGCCTTGTGTGTTTATTACTCCTCTAGGTGCCTTTTCCTTGACTGTGAAGGATGTGACCACCCAGGGGGAGATGATCAAACACTACAAGATCCGCTCCCTGGATGAAGGGGGCTATTACATCTCCCCCCGCATCACCTTCCCTACACTCCAGGCTTTGGTGCAACATTATTCTCGTAAGAGGGGAGGATGTGATAGGGGTGCAGAGGAGCCCTTGGATCTATCACGAGATCTCAAGATCATGTGAATCACTGGTGCCATCTTAGGGTAGGGGGTTATCCCAAAGCTGGGCAAATATCGGCACAGTGATTCAAAGTCGATTTCCCTAATCCTTTCTACTGACTCACTCAGCATATGACCACTTGGAGCATAACTAGGATTTTCAGTCTTAGAGCAGGTCAATGACAGCATGCCTTGCTTTATGCAAAATGAATGCAAATAGCAGAGAGTGTGTATAGCAAATGTGAACACAGGCATATGTGTACTTGGACATGGGAGTGTGGTTGGCAAAAACAAGAAGGGGACACAGCTGGGAAGGATATGGTTCCCGAGGGAGACCTGTGATCGGGCTACTGTGGTAATCTCCAGCCCCATCTCTTCTTCCCTAATGCAGAGAAAGGGGATGGTTTATGCCAGAGGCTGACCCAACCCTGTGTGAGCCTGGCTCCTCAAAACCCCTGGGCCCAGGATGAATGGGAAATCCCCCGGCAGTCTCTCAAGCTGGTCAGGAAACTCGGGTCTGGGCAGTTTGGCGATGTCTGGATGGGTGAGTATGTGGTAGCCAGAAGCCTCTCTCTCCCTGCCCTGTGTCCTGAAGCACAGAAGGCTCGGGACATGCACACTGTATTGTGCTTCCCCAGAAAGCTTGTTTGGGAGAAGGGCCAGAGGCGATGGTACCCATTTTACAGATGAGGTAATGAAGGCAAGTCTGAGACACTGCAGTGACTTGCCCTCCGCTGTCAGGACACCACGGTGGTGCAGTAGGAACAGACTCCAGCTCTCCCAACACCTTAGTTGGTTCCCTCCCTCACTTTTCACTGCTCGGGGATAGCCTGCCATGAACTGGTGTGTGAACTTGAACATCCTCTTAGTTTTGGTTTGCCAGATGGAAATGACCTGTTCAACATGGTCAACGGTGACCCAGGAATTCCAAAAGTCTAATAATAGACCAAGCCACTGCTTGTAGCTGTGTGACGAGCTAGGTCACTGAGCTCCCCGGTCCCTGTACGTGTAGCTGACGACCACTCTTGTACTCACCAAGAGCACTAGCAAACTATGAAAGGCAGTGCTTTATTTTATCCCTGGACCGGTCCATAGCTCTGGGGCATGATACCCAGGTGAGATCCTACTGTGTCCCCAAACCCTCCTCCAGCACCCGGGACTGATGCCTGAAACACCTATGTGCGGAGCCCTACATAGGTCCTTGCAAAGATCCCCTGAGAAGGACGTGTCAATTATGATTTATCTTTTACCTTTCAGTGTGGATGAGGGAGCTTGATGGAGGGAGGGGAGAATGTGGAGGTACGGGGGAAGGAAAGTTGCAGGGCACAGAAAGAAGGGAAAGAGATCTACAAGCCACCTCTGCCTCCTCAGCAGTGTTGCCATGGGCTGTGATGCCCATTTCCATGCTGAAGCTATCGTGTGGTGGAAGAGACTCAGGTCGGGAGAGGAGGCAGGCTATAGGGAGGACAGAAGGGACATGGCACACCAGGACAGACCTCGTGCAGGGGCTAGGAGGTAAAACAGCCTCCCTCCAGGCAGGGAAGTTTCTCAACTTCCTGAGGCTCCAGTCAGGCACAAGAGGCTGAGACAGGCTGGCATCCTGCAGGAAAAGCCAGCTCATCTGTCACCTATAGGACCTGAACGTTCGAGTCCAGGGCTCCACTCTAGGGGACAGTTCTAACCTCAGTCCTCCACCTATAGAATAAGGATGGCTCCTGGAAGCTTATAGACATTTTAGTGAAGTGATCACCTCCCATAGTGTCCGGATCTTCTGAACGGTTTCTTTATTCTCTCTCCGACCCGTCTCAGGTTATTACAAGAACAATGTGAAAGTGGCCATCAAGACCTTAAAGGAGGGAACCATGTCTCCGGAGGCCTTCCTGGCAGAGGCCAACATGATGAAAACTCTCCAGCATGAGAGGCTAGTTCGTCTCTACGCCGTGGTCACCAAGGAACCCATTTACATCGTGACCGAGTACATGGCCAGAGGTGGTGCTCTGCATGGGGCTGCATCGTCAGACAGGGGTGGGAAGGGGCAGGGTCAAGGCTTGAGGAGCCCAGAAAGCTGAGGCTGATCTGCTGCAGTGGGTCTGCCAGTGAGGGGACCTCCATGGGGGATCCCTGGGCCATGGGCCCCACCAATTAGCCAATATCCTACAGATCTTAGGTTTTCCACGGGACTGAGGGGCAGGAAGGAAGGACGGTGGGAAACAATATGGGTCAATGGTTCTTCCAGAGCTGTGTCCCGCATTCAGACACACTTCAGGCAACATTTTTGGAGGGCATCTTCTATGCCCAGCATTGTTTGATGCCCACTAGGGAGGGCAGAGCACTGCCAAGAGTGCTCGACTGGGCATCCAGAGATGGTTCTGGCCCCAGTTCTGCCACTCACTAGCCATGGACCTCTGACAACCATAAATGACATCATGGGTGAAAAGAGAGATCAGGCCAGCTGGCCATGGAAGTCCACAGTGGAGCCAAGATCTCATGGGGCAGTGGGTGGGGGTCAGCCTGTGAGCTCCTTCCCACCCTTCCTGTGACCCTGATTGCCCAACGCTTCTGTAGGATCCTAACCTGCCATGTTAACCTAACTCCTTAGAAATCATCCTCAAGGGGGTCCCACATTGAGCTGGGAGCACAATGCCTCCGCCGCCCACCCAGCCCCCCCTCAGGTGGCCATCCCTCCCAGTTCTTAGATGTCACGGTGGAGCTGCATTTGTCCCCTGCACCAAACCCCAGGAGGCAGGGACCCTTGGTCCTCAGAGACAGAATCTCTGCCAACAAAGGGTGAAGGGGACAGGAAGACGCTGTGGGACATCATGCCAGGAACAGGCACTGAATACAGAGTCGGGAGATCAGGTTCTGCTCCTGGCTCCCCGGCTGGGTGGCTCTGACCCTTGCTGAAACTGAACTTCCTCTGAGCAGCTGGGAGCACAGTGGCTGCCACCTGGGATGCTCTGACGACCGAGACTAGAATTTCTGTAAAGCAGAAAGCACTCTGCAGCTGTGGGTGGTTTTGTTCTCTGTGTACCGGAGATCTGACAGGGTGCCCCATGCTTCCTGACACCAGGTTGGGGGCAGCGCACACATGGGAGGGACCGGCACAGCCGGGGTTGGTTCATTTTGCACAAGAGTGGTTGCAACTTCTCTCTCCTTAGGATGCTTGCTGGATTTCCTGAAGACGGATGAAGGTAGCAGATTGTCCCTCCCCAGACTGATCGACATGTCAGCCCAGGTTTGTGAGCTATCAAGTACAGCAAAGCTCAGGAGTAGTGATGACCAAATGAACCCAGAACCCCACCTTCTCCTCTGTGCCTTGTGGCTTCATGAAACTGGCTCTTCAGAGGTTGTAGCCACTCAATTAAGGCTGGGCTGGGAAGGGCAGAAAACACAGAGTAATAACGGTTTAAATTTGTAAACATCCAGAGGTGTTCTGTGTGGGGGCCAGTAAGTGGGTCTTTCCCTCAAAGACACAGGGACCCACATTTCTTCCATCTGCTCAGCACTTAGCATGTCATCTAAGCCCACCTTCTTCCTTCTAACAGCTGAGCCACTTAGCCTTCCCACCTTCTTCCTTCTAGAGACATGTCATGTCCCTGAAGTCACCTACTATCTTTACTTTGACATTTCTTTCCTTGCCCCCAACCATGTCACCTGGCCACACCCAGGCTGCGAGGGAGGTTGGGAAATGCAGTCTTTATTCTGGGCCATTGGGATGAAGTGAGGTGAGTCCAATTATTCCTAAAGAGAAGGAGAACGGATGGTGTGGGAAACCCGGAGGGTTCACCTGAATTCCATGTGACAATGTAGGCAGGCATGTCGTGACCTCCTTTCTTCCTCAGATTATGCCCACAAATGCCTTCTCCAGCAGGTGAATCACAGTCCAGGCTTCATGAGGTGAAGAGCAAAAGGAAGAGAAGGGGTCGTTCCTCCCCGGGGATGTTAGCCAAGGGTTCTAACTGGCAGGGAAACACATCTGATGGCCCTGAGTGTGTGTGTCTGCTAAAACTGGAACTCTCAGCAGAAAAGCTCTGGTCTGTGGTCAGCCGGTGAGACCCGGAAACACTCACACATCCGCCTCCAGAGAGGAAACCTCCCCCTCACCCTACACCACCACCCCATCCCCACCTTGTCTGGTATTATCTGTTATTAGTATCAGTGCAGGAACTGATGTCACCATGCCCTTTTTCCACTGAGGTTAGCGCACCTGGGTTTGGGTAGGGTGCTGAGTGGTCTCGGAAAATTAACACTGGTAACCAGCCTCAAACCACAAAAGAGTGATAAGAGTGGCCACCCCTTCTTTCTTTCTTTCTTTGCCTTTCTCACTCTCCTCTGTCTCTTTCTCAGTCCCTAGGGAAATCTTGGGTCTTCCCAGGGGCAAAGGATGTGAAAAGCCACCTGCATTTATACCTAGGGGTGGCCAAGAATCTAAGGGTTAGAAACCAGAAAATCAGAACCTTCCAAGTGAACAGCTTCTAAACCCCATTCTAGTCATGCTTGCGTCTCAGCACACACGTGTGTGGACACACACACACATACACACGACCCTTCTGGGCGCTCCTTTTCCTGCTTTGCAGGATGAAATGCAAATCCCGCCTACAACCATAATTCATGTGCCCTACTTTGCAGCCCCACAGCACCACCACTACCCCCCCCCCCCGCCGATGTCCTCTCACACCCCTGAGCCCTCACTCAGGCTGCCCCCTTCACCCAGAATGCCTGGGCAAAATCCTAGCATTTCATCCAGCAAAATCCTAACCAACGTTCAAGATCCAAGTTAAATTCAATTCAGATTTCCCTGGATGGGAAAGGGGCAGAGAACACTTTCTGCATGAGTTTCTGTTAGCACTGTGTGTGCTGTAGTCGTCTTGAAAGCCCATCTGGTTCGCTCGCAACTTTCCCCCCTTTGGTATGATTTCCAGTACTTCTCAGTACGCATTTGTTAATGGGAGGAGTACTGGTAAATGTTATCCAGATCCAAGATATTTGGTATTCAGCTTTCTAGCCCCCACAGTAGCATACCAATAAATGTATGATTTAGCAAAGGAATAAATGAATGACTAAGGGAATGGATTCATGAATAAACCAGGGCAGATGGACACTTATGGAGAAGTGGGATGAAATCCAGTGCTGCCTTCTTGCCATCGCTGGTCTGGGGGTACATTGGCATTTTATGCTCTGCCTCAATTCCTTCATCCATCAAGTGGGAGTGTGAAGAATAAAGCCTAAATGAATTTCCTCGACTACAAGACACAAGCGCCACATGAGCAGCTATTCCTGGCCCAGTGCTGGTGATGGGGGACAGAAACAGAAACGGCCTCTGGTCCACTGGAATTCTGCGCATGCCATCTGAGGGCCTGGTTAGCTCCCTGGCCACATGTCTTGTGTAATGCCCACCTCAACTCCGCACCCTGGAGACCCCTTTTCTCATGTTCCAGGTCAGGACAGGGACCCCTCAGAGAGCTTAAGCAGCTCCAATCCAAGGCTCCCTGCTCCTGAACAGTGCTGCTGACTTGGCGAGGAGATAAAACCCTTTCTTTCCCTCCTTCCCTGCCCTTTTCTTCCCCGGCCCCTCAAAAGACCTTCTTCTCCTGCTTTCATTCTGCTGTCTTCCTCCCCCGCAGACACTTGGAAGGACAGAGAAGTGGGTGAGGGGTTCAGGCAGCTCTGGCTTTGACATCCATGTCTCTGCTTTTCTGGCCTTTTCAAGGGCTGGGGTCTATGGCTTACTCAGCTGAAGAGTGGTGGAAGCCAGTTTTCTCCACTCAGGAATCTGCTTCTTCTCCTTCTCCAGCAGCACCCCTTGCCCCCTATGCATCTACCAACAAACACAAACACAGACCTCCAAGTGTTCCTGCCCCTTCCAGGCTATGAGGGGGTGAGGACCGGCCCTCCAGATAGGTGGGCAGGTCCTTCCCCTTCTGATAGCGGCTCTGCAGGGCACTCTGGTTGGGCTCCATCCTTGCCTGGAGGTCCCTACGCTGTTCTTCACTGTGTGGCTTGTTCCCTCAGATTGCTGAAGGAATGGCGTACATCGAGCAAATGAATTCGATCCACCGCGACCTGAGGGCAGCCAACATCCTGGTGTCTGAGACCCAGTGCTGCAAGATCGCGGACTTCGGCTTGGCCCGCATCATTGACAGTGAATACACCGCTCAAGAAGGTGGGCGGAGCCCCCATCTACAAGGGAGACCTTGGGCCTCACCTTCCCCAACTCCCTAACCCCGCTGTGCTTCTCCTTGCCACTTCAGAGCAGAGCTTTGTGGTTTTCCCAATTCTGGCCTCACTCCCAGGTAGATCAGCATTTCCGTAAAGGGGCTTCACTAGTGTCTGATGAGGAATGGCTTCGTGATGAAGTAGGTTTGGAGATGCTGCATAGGCCGTTCAGACCCTCTTTGGAGATTCCTGGTGCACACCAACATGTGAAAGGCACTGACAAGTCCTGCAGCAAAGAAACAGCATATATTTGCTTCACCTGTCTCTCCAAAACTAATTTGAGCCCAAGGTACTTTTTTCACTTGGCTTCTATAAGCCTCCCACAGATCTAGGGTTTCCCAGAACACACTATGGAAAGCATTTTTCTGAAGCATGAGCAGGCAGCAAATGCTTATACCCGAATTAGGGTTTCCACAGAGCACTCTGCTTTTCTTCATGAGGAAAAAAAAAAAAATTCTTCATGAGAGGATTTAAAATGGTCAAATACATGTATCAAGTAAGCTAGCAAGCAATATTAGCTGAGCATATTAATCAGTTGGCACAGGAGAAGGATCAATAGGGCTTGTTCCCTGAGGAAGCTTCAGGCTGGCTGGGAAAACCGAGAAGGCAGGGCAAGGAAGGAGGTAATCCCGTGCTGAGCTGTATGCTGTCTACTCTAAATGCTGACCAGGCTGCAGCTCTCCAGGGGGCTTCACGGGACAGCGGGATTGGAATTCCCTCCTCACCGTGACCCGAGGTGGCACACAAGTCCCTTGTCATCATTTCCATTTTGCAGGTAGGGATTAAAAGGCAGGGACCAGTTAAGGTGACTTGCCCAAACCATGGATTTCTGTTATTAAACACGTGAGGTGGAAATGACTCTTCTGTCCCAGGTGGAAACACAAACAGGGTGACAGAGGTTGTCTCTTGGGCTGTGCACCCCTAGTGTCTTCAACATGCCTACTCATGTGTTCTAGTGGGTCTTAGTGGTTCTCTGGAAGCATCTCTGTTGTGTACAGAGATGGTGGTCCAAGGCCTGCTAAAGAGGGGGAGGGAAAGTGCATAGGGACAGTCGGTCATGGCCTCACAAAGCTGCCTGTGGCTTTTCTCATAGGCGCCAAGTTCCCCATCAAGTGGACTGCCCCAGAGGCCATCCATTTTGGGGTGTTCACCATCAAAGCGGATGTGTGGTCATTTGGAATCCTCCTGATGGAAATCGTCACTTACGGGCGTGTACCCTATCCAGGTAGGTGGCTTGGTCCCTCAGTGACTAGATGGGCTCCCTGCCTTCCAGAAATGGCTGCGATGACAGATATCCCATCCTTGGTGCCTGGAGCTGCCCACATCTATGCCAGGATGGGGTCCCCGCAGTTGGAACAGAGACTCATGCATGTCACTCTGGGGACGGAGGCTCTGTGCCCCTTCCTCAACATTGCTTTTGGCAACAGGGCTGTGCCCCTTCATTCAGGAGAGGTCAGTAAACCCCCAAACCAGGAATTAAGTGAAGGTCAGTGTCTGAACTCAAGTTCACTCCAAACTGGTTCTCACTTGAGGACAGCTTGTCTCTCCTCTGGCCTTGCACCTTGGGTGTAGTTCCGGAAGCCGTGTTCTGACTGTACAACTTCCCAGCCCTGCCCCCCTCCGGGCCGCTGAAGGGCTTGGCCAACTCAGCAGCCTACAGCCAGCGGTCTCCCTCCGCCAGCTGGTGCATCTTCACAGAGCACCTGGCCAGCGAGGGACGGGCTTGGGCTGTGTGCCCATGGCAGGTAAGCAAGACAGGGTCCCACACACGGAGGAACTGCCCGCACTAAGGAGACAACCCAGAGCCTCCCCTCCAGCTGTTCTCGGAGGAATGACATGTAAATAAAGGGTTGTTTCTCAGGGGCACCAGCTGGGTAGCCCAGTGACCTGCGAGGGAGGATGTGGTGGTCTGGGCCTCACGGGCTCCCGCCGCCCCTCAGCCGCGCTCTGCGTCCCCTCCACCTGCAGGAATGAGCAACCCCGAAGTCATCCGCAGCCTGGAGCGCGGCTACCGCATGCCGCGGCCCGACTCGTGCCCACCAGAGCTGTACCGCGGTGTCATCGCTGAGTGCTGGCGGAGCAGGCCAGAGGAGCGGCCCACCTTTGAGTTCCTGCAGTCAGTGCTCGAGGACTTCCACACGGCCACGGAGCAGCAGTACGAGCTGCAGCCCTAGGCCCTGGCGCAGGGACACGCGTCCGGAGCCCGAGAGGCCCGGGGTTGGCTTACACATGCGACCCATCCTGTAGAACTGACCAGGCATGTTCACCTCGCAGCTTTTATTCCAGCCCCAGTCAGCCTGGAAAGGCAGGGAGGAATTGGTACGCCCATTTCTCAGATGAGGAAAGTAGAAGTAGAGGTGGCCTGACGGGTGGATCACACAGCACGGACTCTGGACATCCAGTGGCAGTCCCACCCTTCTCTGGCTGTGTGACCTTGGGTGAGTCACTCAGCCTCTCCGTTCCTCCGCTGTCTTACTTGTACAATGAGGGAAGAACCATGATAGTACCTACCTCGTACGTTCCTCAAGAGGATTACATTCGTTAACCCCAGTAAGATGTTAAGAATAGTGCCTGGCAAACGCCTGGCACACCGTTAAACGTTTGGCATCGTGTAACAACCCTGAGCTGGCGCCAAAAGCAAGAAGTCGGCTACAGGTGACTGGGGAGTTCCGCTGCTCCCACCTGCGCCGTCCGCGCCCCTGTCCTGCTCGCTCTCTGCTACCCCAGAAGCAGGACTGGGTCCTCTGAGATGTCCGTTCAGAGAAGCGTCCAGCACTTTGGGGACTTTTCCATAATAAAGTCACGAGATCTGACCTTCGCCGTGTCGTTACTTGGGACAAGCCTGGACCTCGCTACGTGGCACAGGTGGTTTGAATGAGTGACGCGGTGAGGGACTCGCGGATTCGTGGAAACCGAGCCCAAGCCTCAAGGACAACACCGCAGACCCAAGGGTCATTGCCTTTTAGGGGAGGCTTGAGCGGGCCCGGCAGGTGGCGCCCTCACCTCAGAAATCCCTGGGCTTCTGGTCTGAGTCCAGGACCCTTTGCTGAGGACTGACAGTGGGAGGGTGCGAGCCGCACTTGTTGGGGGTGCGTGCACGGGGGGGGGCAAGCGCCCTGGGCTCTGAGTCCTGCGACCAGGTGCAGCAACGATGTGCGGACGATGATGGGATGGTAACACCAGAGAACATTCAAGGCTTCACACTGTTCAGGAAGCTCCCTATTTGTCATGGGGTTTTTTGTTTGTTTGTTTTTATTTATAATAGATTTATTATAATAGATTATTATTAAATAGATTTATTACGATAGATTTTTTTGGGAATTAGGTTTATGAAAAATAAGTGGAAAGAATAAATAATGTCCATTTACCCCTCACCCCCGCCCCTCTATTTCCTCTATTATTAACATCTTGCAATAGTGTGGTTCATTTGTTACAACTGACAGGCCAAATTAACACATCATTACTAGCTAAAGCCCGTAGTTTACATTAGGATTCGCTCTTTGTGTTATGTTGTATGCGTTTTGGACAAATGTATAATGACTTGCCTCCAGCATTATGCTACCATACAGAATAGTTTCAATGCCCTAAAAATCCCTTATGCTTCTATTCACCCCTTCCTCCCTTTGAACCCCTAGCCACCAACTTGCCATGTTTTGACCCCTCTGATCCTAGTAACCCAAGGAATATTACGATGCTGTGTACAGAGGAAGAAAGGCAGGCACAAAGAGATTGGGTAGTATTCCCAGGTAACACTGCTTATTAGTGATGGGAGGGGGTTGTGGAGGCAAGCACAGCTGCTGGATTATGGCAGCAGAGTCTGGGCGGGGAGCTGCTGGGCTGGGAGAACCTCACCGCAGGAGCTGCCCCTGCAGGGAAAGAGAAGTGACTGGGCAAAGAAGAACAAACATCTGTACGGTCCTTGGGATTTCCAGTATGCATTCCTGTAAGGTCCTTGGGATTTCTAGTGTGTGTTTCCATACTGTCTATGGATTCTCAAACAGCTCTGGGGAGGCATCACCATTGTTATCAAGCCTATACTCCTTTCCATACAAGAAATAAATGACAGAGACTCCACACCACGAAGCTTATTAAGAGGCTCTTAGCTGGCCAGTGCTGGACCCCAGATTTGAACCCATTCTTTGCCCCCAGCCCCTCGCCACAAACTACTACGTAGGTGAACACGACACTCCCAGGAGCAGGCGATGCTGGTACGCGGAGGTCAGGCAGGCTCACATGGAGCCTAGTGAGTGTGTGTGAAGCAGGCAACATGGTCAGATTGGGGCTTGGACAGATCTCCTCTAGGCCATCCAGGATTTGGGAGGTAGAGGGCTCTAGGGACAAGAAACCTTGTCCTCAGGGCAGTGGGGAGAGGGAGGGGCAGAGAATCACCTCTGAGCTCCCCCAGGAACCATGGGCACTTTGGGGGAGAGTACTGCTGAGTCTTTCAGAAAAAAAAAAATCACAGCTCAGCCTCCCCCACTCTGGAGGAGGCCTCGTGCCCACGCCCCATCTCCTCAGAATCTCTGCGAATTGGGGCTGTCAGGGCCAGACCCCAAGATGAGGGAACATGGCTGGAGGGAACTAAGCTGGAATTCAGGGCAACCTGTAGAGGGTTGGGGAGGGCACCAGACAGACAGATCTGAGCCCATAAGGCTCACAGATGAGCAGTGTCCTGAGAGGACCTAACTGGATATAGGACTGGATGTGACTCTGGATGTAGGACTGGAAGGAGTCCTATCAGCCAGATAGAAAATGAATCCCTCCTTCCTGCTTAGCAGCCTGGACCTACAGCCTGGGCACCACCTCCCTGCCTTTCACAGCCCCTCTGAAGTGGTTTCCAGTGACTTGGGCTCCAGCTATCCCGAGCTGCAAGGCCTGGGGCTGGCTTGTCACCTCCCTGGACCCCACCACCTTCCCATAAAGATGAAGTGGGTTCTCTCAGTGCTTTGTAACTGCACTGCTTCTAAAAATCACTTCAGCTCCTTGTTTTGAAAAACAGGTTTCTTGGGGTGCCTGAGTAGCTCAGTGAGTTCAGTGACTCTTGGTCTCAGCTCAGGTCATGATCTCGTGGATTGTGGGATCAAGCCCAGCACTGGGCTCCGTGCTCAGCAGGGTGTCTGTTTGAGATTCTCTCCCTCTGCACCCTTCCCAAGGTGCTCTCTCTCTCTTTCCCTCTCTCAAATAAATAAACCTTTGGGAAAACATAATAAATAAAAGACAGGCTTCTAGTCGCTTTCTGAGATTCTGACCCAGCAGATCTAAGGTAGGATCTGGAAACCTCATCTTTCCTAGAGCCCTCAACCCTGGAAGGGATTCAGATGACGGTGTGGTAGAGGTCAGACCATGACACAGGGGAAGGAACATCTAAAAATACCAGTGCCAGGATTCCAGGAGGGTCCCGACCATTGGCACATTTTAGATGTTTGCAGCTGATACTAGAGTTCAGCCAGGATTAGGAACCATGGGGCTAGGCTGCATGGGGTTAGGAAGGACTCTTCCCAGGATGGCAAGCCGCAAGGCACCTGGGGTTCCTAGTCTGATGCTCAGGTCCTGGAATTGCAAGACCAGCTCATGTCTGTTGCTTTTCCCAGTTCTCTATGCAAGCCCTAACCTGCAGAAACTAGAAAAGAAACCCATGAGCCCAATGCTTTCTCAGACCCACCTTGTCAGGCACACAGAGGTTTTCTGGGGGTGAGGCTGGAGCCCAACCTTGAGGGACCAGAGAGACTTTTCACCACCAGGAGGCGCCCTTGCCTCAGCGGTGCCCAGAACTGAGCCTGAGTGCCCCAGGAGGTTTTGTTAGGACAATCGTTCAGTTTATAACGACCCAGAAGCTTTTCAATTCCCAGCCAGAAAGTGAAGTGTGAGAGGATGTGGAGAGAGATGCAGCATGACAGAGAAATACAGAGATAGATACAGAGAGAGACAAGACAGAGGGAAACAGAGACACAGAGAGAGCCTGAATGGGCAGAGGCGATATTTCCTGCTCCGGGAATTTGTCTTCCGAGTGGAAGGGCTGCTCACTCAGGGCTGTGGAGATCATATTCTCCCGCCAGGATCTGCAAGTGGGAGCAGATTGCAGGGAGGGCCAGGGCCTGAGACATTTGATTGCAACCTGTCTCCCAAGCTCTGGTGAGGAGCACACCTGGCCTTGGACCCAGACGTCTCCCTGCCTGTGATGGAAACCCTGCCTTCCTTTCCCTCTTCCTCCACAGAGGCAGGACACGTGTGCCGCAATGGAATTGCTGCAGCATTTGGAAAATGAAGAACGGCAAGATCTTTGGGGTTACATAGACCTGGGTTCAAATCCAAGCACTTCCTTTCCCAGGATGTGTGACCTTGGACCCTTGGCTTGATTTCTCTGAGCCTCAGTTTCTTCAAATGGACATAAAATAAAAATACCCAAAATAGGGAAACCTGGGTGGCTCCATGGTTAGAGCTTCCAACTCTTGATTTTAGCTCAGGTCGTGATCTTGGGATCGTGGCATTGGGCAGCCTGGCATTGGGCTTCACAAGCTTAACACAGAATCTGCTTGAGATTCTCCTTCCCTCTCCTTCTCCCCGAAACCAGTCACACTCTAAATAAATGAGTGGATGGATGGATGGATGGATGAATAATCTTTTTTAAAAACACCTAAAATACAGGCTTGTTTTGAGGTTTAGACAAAATAGTACATACAAGGCATTTATCATTGTGCCTGTCTTCTGGCAAATGCTCAGAAATGTTAGCTCTTGTTATTATTATTCTTAGGATAGCCCCCAAAGAAAGGCCTTTAAAGACACTGAGTCACAACCTCCAACACCTTATCTGGGTTTCCCTGTCCTCTGTGATCTGTCTCCAGATTTGGGCTTCTAATACCACCAGTATTCTGTTCTCCACTCATTGCCGTGATTTTTCTTTGTCTTCTCTCACACCCCTCCCACCTTCGAGGAAGGACTTCAAAAAGAACACACGGGATTTGAAGTCAAGGACCTAGGTTTAGCAGCACTTTCCAACTGTGCAACCTTGGGTAAATAACTCAAGTTCTCTGAGCCTCCACTTCCTTGTCTGTGAACAGGTGAGAACAATGACTCCCTTGCAAGGTTGTTTTAAGGATTTAAAGAGTACTTTAAAAATGGAATGGTAGGGCGCCTGGGTGGCTCAGTGGGTTAGGCCGCTGCCTTCGGCTCAGGTCATGATCTCAGGGTCCTGGGATCGAGTCCCGCATCGGGCTCTCTGCTTAGCAGGGAGCCTGCTTCCTCCTCTCCCTCTCTCTCTCTGCCTGCCTCTCCGTCTACTTGTGATCTCTCTCTGTCAAATAAATAAATAAAATCTTTAAAAAAAAAAATGGAATGGTAGATTGTGCTGCCGGAACAGGTACCACAGAGCGGGAGACGTCAGCCACAGATATGTCTTTTCTCATAGCTTGGGATGCTTGTTTCAGAAACAAGCCTATTTGGTGTGGGTAAAATTCTCATCTACAAATAAGTAAGATCCACAGAGAAGCTGGAACACCAGTGGACCAGCTCCTTTTTTTTTTTTTTTAAAGGTTTTGCTTTTAAGTAATCTCTCCGCTCAACTTGAACTCCAAGCCGAGTTCGAGAGTTTCTTGCTCTACCGACTGAGCCAGCCAGGAGCCCCAGCAGAGGACTGACTGGCTTCCTGTGGACAGTCTAGATTTACACAAAAGATAAATCTGTCTTTAAAATGAAATGATTTATTTTATAGAAGGGTCCACCACATATTCCTGCAGGTACTTTAAAAAGCAGTCTTCGATGGGGCACCTGGGTGGCTGAGTGCGTTAAAGCCTCTGCCTTCGGCTCAGGTCATGATCCCAGGGTTCTGGGATCGAGCCCCGCATCAGGCTCTCTGCTCAGCGGGGAGCCTGCTTCCTCCTCTCTCTCTGCCTGTCTCTCTACCTACTTGTGATCTCTATCTGTCAAGTGAATAAATAAAAAAATCTTTAAAAAAAAAATTTTTTTTTTAAAAAGCAGTCTTCGAGGTTCCTCAGGCCTCCCGTCGCCCTGGGTTTTGGTTTTGGCTGTGGTAAAACACCCCTCACATAAAATGTCCCTATCAGCCTAGGAACTTTCCAAGTGTGCTGGTCCGTGGTGTCCCAGTCCCTCGCATCGCCGTGCAGCCACCAGCACCCTCCACCTCCAGAACTTGTTTGTCTTCCCAAACTGAAACTGCATCCCCACCGAGTGCCAGCTCCCCACTCCCCCCCCCCCCCCCCAAACTCCCATTCGACTCTACTTCCTGTCTCTGGGGATTTGGCTATCCAGGTTCA